TTTGATATTACATATATAGATACTACATGTAGACCCTTCTCAGATTTGTTCATTTCGTGATGATATCTTCAATTCTCTAATTTTGGTGAATATTTTTGTCATTTTTGGTAGAAAGTAATATTTTCGATTTCTTGTTAAAAACTGTAAGTCTGATTGCTTTGATACTATACATATTGTTCATTTTCTAATGATGTCTTCAGTTCTTTAATTGAAATGTGCATTGCTAACAGCGGAGCTATCTCAGCCAATAGGCTGCTTGTTTTTAAATATAAGACATTTATTGCATTCATTTAAAAAATATATTTTTATTTCTAGTTTAAAAGCAATAAAATATGCACTTCAAATGATAATAAAACAATAGAACGCGTTTCGAAAAAATGTGTAAAATTTTGCCATTGTAGGAGTGAAGATTTCACTGAGATCTTAAACCCTTTGGTCAAACTTTTTAACATTTTTTGCCTTTTTATAATTCACAAAATAGTCCTGTTTATAGTCTGCACTTTCCTTCAGTAGATTGGGACAAAAATTGCCAATTTTTTTGAGTACCGGTAAAAACAGAAAATTGAATCAATTTTTTTCTATTGCCCCCAAAATTAGGGTTCATTTCTAGAAATATTGAAGAATATATGAAAAAAGTGCCAACAAATTTGGGCAAGAATATCTGGTGGTTAATACGCAACAGTCACATTTTCATGAACTTTGCATGTCAATGAAAATCATAGAATTTTTTAGCATTGAAAATTTCTTTGGGGTCTTACGGCACAAATTTTGTGTTAATTCCTGAATGCCATAAAAATATCAAATCAAAAAAATATCTATCTAAGAAAATTAAGTAGTTTACAGTTAATGTCCTATTGCAGATAGGTCTTGCAGAACGTTTGTCTAAAATTTGGCAATAAGTATGTAGAATTATTTTGTGAAATTTGACTATTAAAAGTTTGTCATTGAACTAAATACGTGGAGTAAGCACGATTCAGTGTTAATGAAACTTGTGTGAACCCGGCTATCATAAAATCCATTGCTGTGTGGACAGGGGTATCTGGATCTTATCATATTCTAAAAATCAGTAACAGCTTTAAAGATAATGATCTTTAAGTTTAACAACTGATGTTCATTTCAACATCTATATAGGTATATCATCTGTGTATCTCAACTCCAGATGGCGTAGATATTATAATTCATAATCCTGTCACATACTAAATACCTACATACCATGTCTAATCTGATGTGTTGCTAAGCTGGTTTCCATGGCAATAGCATGGATGAATTGAAACTTGATCACATATAATGATGTGCGTATTTTTTTTTAATTTATATGTATTTATAAAGCTTTGTTTAAATTGAATTTGATCATAGCTAGATTATTTATTGGGAATAATATTTGAATAATTATATTTATAAGGAATAACTCTTTTATTTTCATAATGCCACCAGCCGAAGCTTCTAATTTACAAAATTTGTTAAGGCGATTTAGAAACAATATTCAAAATCTGAAATAGTACATAAACAAAACTAATGATTAAATAATTCAAAAAATAATAATAATCTGATTTTAATCAGATTCTAGTAAAATTGGGCTCAACTTCAACTGGTTTAGCCCTTTAAATTCTAAAGTCACTTTTCTCAACTTTCACAAAATAAAGTAAAATAAATGTTTCAAAAATTATTATCAAGACAAGTGATCAATAAAAAATGATGTCATTTTAATAAATAATAAAATTAATAAAGAACTTCTTAAAAAAACCATAAAAATGTGCAGAATTTGTAAAAAAAATTGATTGGAACAATAAAAAAAAAAGAAACCGTATCTGCGTGTTTTTGGATTTACTCACTGATTTGGAGCATAACAGAACATAAATATTATCTTCTCCTGTCTTCTTGCTCATGTCGTTTTTTTTCTCTTAAATTTTCCCAGCAGGAAGCCATAAATATGTTATCTTTGTTTTTGTCATTTCAACCAGACTGATAAATACATCCATCCATCTCTTTAAATGTATATAACCTGTAAAAATTCTAAAATGCAATCGGTGGATCAAGGTTATAATTATACAGTAAATCATAAATCATATGTATTTAATAACTAGGTCAAATTGTCAAATTATGGTCATTTACTTATTATTAAAAAATACGATGAAAAAAAATATTTCATCATCACAATATTTGGTTTCAAAAGTATTACATAATAGACAAGTTTTGAGGTCTGTTGTTACCGTAGAAACTTGTGCACTCTGGTGTGAAAACATTTCAGTTTCGTTCACATACGGAGGTTGATTTTACAGCGTAATTGTTCGATAGCTTATCAGTTCACCAGTAACCATGGAAATTAGCAAATAATTTGCATGAGCTAGAAATCACCCTCCCCAATCTTGCATGGAAACCGAATGATGGGTATATATAACTCAAAACTTCTCTATTATTAAGACACATGTCGTAGAATTTCATTTTATTTGGCACAGAATATACAGCCTTCAAACATGTTAAATTACTTCACAAAAAATAGTTTCAATTATTTAATATTCTGTGACAAACATAATTAATAAGAATATTACAAAATATGATTTTGTTATCATATGTAATTAAACAATCACATTTGGAGGTAAGGTGAAAATCACCATTTTCATGAATTTTTAACCTATTTTTTGTACAAAAATTAGTTAGGTAAAAGTATATCTTTTACAGTTTTGTGTACAAATAGCATAACATTAAAACCATGAGGTTAAAGTCAATGATATATCAGTTTTATTGACCATTCCTATTTAGTCACGACTACCAATCTGATTTATTCACAGTAATCAATGCTCCAATTATGTAAATTACCGGTAGTACATGTACTGTGTGTCGTAACACAGGGTAGATCCAAAACTCACCGCAGTGTGACGTCGAACACTGCCAAACAATTATGGCAGTTACTATGTTTTTATCCGTTATTCTGTTAAATCAAGTGTGATACATGTATATGAGTGATGGCTGAACTGTTGTCTTAACACCTTTCAGCTCACTTTGATGCTTAAAAAAAGAGCAACTTTAAATATAACTAAATATCTCATGATTTCAAAAATAACAATATGAATACAAATTGTAATATTCATAGACTTGAATGCTATGTGAATGAACCCATCTCTTATTATTTATATTATAGATTTGCTAATCATGGTGACTGCAATATTTAATGCAAGTCTGAAGTTACTGTTGTTGTTACAGGTTCTGTGCAAATACCATGCGTCAACTTGAAATGATATTTATTGCTTTTGAAGTGGATGCTGGAAAATGTCACATTCTCTGTAATACTGGCAATATATAGGGTTTTATGAAAAGTCCCACAGGTTGAACCAATAGAATTTTTTTTTTCTACTCGCAGTATTGAGCAAGATGGATGAAGTTGGTTTACTATTTGCTTTTAATCAGTCTTTTTTTACTGTTATTAGATGTTTCATCTGTTCCCTGGTTGCTAAGTTACTGATTAAAATTGTATGTAGATAGAAATTCTGGTTGCTTT